TAATCCCCCTACACACACACAGACACTCAAAAGTATTACTAATTATATTTATTTATTGTACGGCAGCGAGGGTTTATTAATTTGTCAATCGAGCCAACTATTTATTTATTTATTTAATAATTTAGTGAAATTCACACAAAACAAAAACAAGCACGAAAAAACAAAAACAACACACAGAAGTGGGAAAAAACCAAGCAATTCAACTGTAAAATATCCAATTCAAAAAATACACACGAAAAGCCAAAGAAAATAAAATCAAAACATTTCAAGAATACAACAGAAATTCAAAAGCAGCAAAAGCGTTTTCATTTCCCTCATTTTTCTTTCAGTTTTTCAGTTGCCGATATGGTTTTTGGCCACAATTTAAGGGCAATAAATAATCAAGCAAGACGATTATCAAGATGCTTGACATATTGACCCATACGATACCATTCGATACGATACACACGCACACTAAATCGCCGGAATATATGTAGATAGATAGCAATGTATATCTCGTACGCAAATAGAGAAATATCCAAAGTAATCGCAGAATGAAAATAGCTAATCTGGCATAAAAGCCAGCAGGGCGTAAGCCAAAATAGAATCCTTGCGGGCCCCAAAAACCCCAAGATAGCATATTCGATTTTCAAAATAATGGAACCACACACAGCCCATCCCTCGCTCCACTTACTCCACTCCCAAAAACAAAAAAAATGAACTAGGAAACGGAAATGTTCAGCACGAGACAACAGAAAACCAAATAGCAAAAAGAAAAAATTATAGATAAATAAATAAACAGAGAAAAATTGAACAAAAATAAATGTCTAAATTATAAATGAAATTCTCGTTTTCCTCATAAATAACTCAGGGCGGTTAAGCATACATGCGGAGTTTGAAGTGGAAAGTGGGAGCCACTCAATCAATATTTGCTCCACATAAATTTGAGCCGAATTCAAAGCGAAAGACTGCAACTAAAACTTGAGGAAAATCCTTAATTAATACCCACTCCGAAGGAGACTCGTGTGTCAACGAATTTTCCCACTCCAAAAAGGGGGCAAGCCAACAACTTCGTCCCACCAATCGATATTTGCTCTATATTATTAGTTTGCGCCGTGGCAAATTGAAAAGCCCCCATGAAATATGAAAGCGTAGCACAAGAATTTCGTAATAATTCATATTGTCATTCGACATCGTTTTCAATCCTGCCGGATTAGCAGGACTTGAGACTTGAGTCCATGAATTTCCAAGTATGCATTCCGCTTGAAGCACTTTTGTCGAATCAAAAATCATTATTAGCAGATTCTTTGTTGCTCGACTAAAATATACCTCTTCCGAATAATAATTTCTTGGCTTTCCTCTAAGTGGATTTCAATGTGCTTTGGTTTTGAGTGGCTAGCTTTATATATATAAATATAAGACTTACAGAGTAATCTTTCTTTGTGGATGACAAATTTACAGGTCTAAAGTCCATGAATTTTCAAGTAAGCTTCTCCAATTTATGGGTTTTAATGTTACATAAAACACAAATATCAAAATACCTATCAAACTCTTTATCCTAAAAAGCACAGGGTATAATATCCATTTTTGATGGTTATTAATGATGCATAATCAAAGAAGCGTTGCGAAATCAAAGATGTCTGATTACTTCGGCGAATGAATAAAACACTCAGAGAGCTAAATATAAATTAGGCAGAAATTCACTTGTGTCTCAATGGGCAGGCAATAATCCATGTCAAAGGTAAATTACTACAAAAATTGGGGTACACCCTTGTCATATGCGCATACAGTCCCTAATTTGCAATTAATAATTGTCCATAATCAGAATTGGCTGATTGCACCTACCAATTAAGTTCCAATTAAATTATACAATTAGCAGGAGGACATGCAAGTGCCAGATATAGCAGATAAAGCAGAAGCGACTCCTTTGGATTCGGGGGCGGAGTAGAACTCCCATTGAAGACGACTGACAGACAGAGAATGCCAGAGCCAAACCAATCCAATCCGAAGTCTAGGAGGCAGTTGGTGGACCAAGATTTATGGTAGACAGGAGCTGCCGCCTCGTGGACATCAAATTGAAATTCAGGCACAATGTCAACAGCAATCGGGGACGAAGTCAGACAGGCTCAGACGGCGACTCGGTATCCAGAGCTGCAGCTCTCTGAAGCCGAAAAATCCACATAAATAACGCGGGCATCCAACTGCCCCCATCCCGCTCCTGTTCTCGTCCAGCTTGTTTCTGCGAATGGCAGGTGCAACTCAATCAACGCTTCACCTCTTCGCGCCGCCCCTTCCTCCAAGGTTTCTGCCACAACGTTGCATGTCATCTGTTCTCTGTTCCCTGGCCTCTGGATCTGCGGAGCTGTGGACAGAAGCTGCGGCTTCGGCTGGGAGCCACCTGCCCAAAAGTTGACTTTGGACGTTTTTGTTTACATTTGGCGGAAAGGTGAAGTGTATGGAATGGAGTCAGAGTTAAAGTCAAAGTCAGAGTCGGACTCAGACCCAGAATCGGATCCAGAACTCAACTGAGGAAGCTGGTAGCAAGTTTCGAGTGGGTATCACAGATCAACGATCTGCGGGCAGAAAGACCTCCGACGAGAACCTCCAAGGGTTCAATGTTCCTAAGAGAACGTTCTGAAGAAAGCGATGACCTGAAAGAGGTGCTCAATCGATGAATGTTTCCTTAGATCCAAGAACAAGTATTTATGTTTTTAGTGGAGGGAATGAGGACTAGAAATAAACGCAATCAAAAGTTTATTAGTTTATCATATCAATAATTTTAGAACATTTCTAACTTTAATCAGGTTCTGAGGAATTAAGTTAGTTTAAACCATGACCATTACAATCACACCCTTGCTATATCAAGTCCTATAAAATGAGTGATTTAAAAGATACTAAGAGACCACCAGAGATTTATTTACTACCAAACAGGCCCCATCAAAACAAGCAACCTTGTAAATAACTGCTGAAAGACATTCTTCGAGAACTTGGCGATAATCCCTCAATCGGTTTGAATGAATCTGAAGGGAATGCAGACGCAGGACCACCTATCAAAGCATAACCTTATCGAGGCGACGAGTGCTCCTTAATGTGTCGAGACTTTGACCCTGAGAGGCAATTATCCCTTCTGGTCGATCGGTTTGATCACCTTGCCCGGCATGACTCTTTGCAGTTTCCATCGGCATCGCCATCAAAACCGACCGTTTTGCGGCTCAATTAGGCGGCAGAGTTTCATCTACCTGGTTTGAGGAGTCCTCGGTCTCCAGAGTCGATCTTTTCGGGCTACCCAAGTAGCAGCATGCTGGGGCGCTAATTGAAGGAAACGGAGCAAAGGTCAGAGAAATGAAAACCACCTCGAAACCGATCAGAAGCCTTCATTAACAAAAGGGAACCACGACTAACTATGCTAATCCTCGCTCAGTGGCAACATGCTGGAGTCATGAAGCACCAGTTTCAGGCGAAAAGCATCCACTCCATTCATGTAATACCGCAACAGCCGCCTTTCCCGAATGAATCCCAAACTCTGATACAGAGCCAATGCCGGTTTGTTGGTCAGCTCCGTTTCCAGGGAAATCATGGCTGCATCCTTCATCGCCATGGTCTCTATGGCCATTTCCGAGAGGGCCTTTCCAATGCCCCGCTTCCTGTACTCCACTTCCACCGCCAACATGGCAATGTAACCAATCTGGACTCCCTCCATCGTCTCTTCCATTTTGCACACTATCACGCCCACAAAGCGATCTCCATCTAAGGCAAAGAAGCACAGATCTGGCCAGTTGTAAACAAAGTAGCGATAGGTGTAAATGGAGTACGGTTCGGAGAGCTCCTTGTCGATCAGGCTCTGGAGCACCTTCAGCTGCGATTCATCATGGAACTCACAGAAGGTGAACTGCTGCTCTTCCCCGGACTTCTGGTTATCCTTTGTCTTATCTTCAAGAACTGCTTCTTTTTGATAGGCTGAGTGATTCTTATCCACAAGGTCTGTTTCCCCAATAGAGGGAAACAGATTCTTTTCTACAAGAACTGCTTCCGATACATCTTGATCCATTGTTGACGACTGTGTTTAGTTTCTTAAAAATAAAGTTTATAAAATTTTGAATTTCTGAGAAAAGCTAACTGAGGATATCGCCAGTTTTCCAGGTGATGAACCAAAAACATTGGTAAGTTTAGTCTTACGAAAGTACTACACTGATTTAAGGTTTGTAACTCGAGCTCATCATACTTAATGATATAATTTGTGAGCCCAACCCAAAATTGTCAGATTGAAAAGAGAATACGCCGCAAGAGAGTGAAAATGTCGTGAAAATTCCTAGCGCGACCTTGGCGGCAAGGCACTCGCACAAATCCCAGCAGGTGACAGTCGGCTTGGCAGGCTCTAAATAGCATTACCCTGACTCCTGTCACGCTTCCCACTTTGCCCAGCTCCATTCAGGGCAATTAAGAGGCACGCCTGGGACAAAAAAAGTGGGTTCGGGGAAGGGGAAAGGGAAAACTCCCTGAGCATGTGAAAATTATGAAAATGTCTGCCACGACTTTGACAGTTGCCCTCGAAGAAGAATCCTTTGTTGTCTGTGCCAGGATGACGACAAGAACGACGAAGAACTGCCGGCAAGCACGCACAGGTGTCCGCCAGGTGGGTGGTGGATCCCGATCCCTGTGAGCTGACAGCTCTGAGCCAAGGCTCCTGCCCTCGGCTTTGCATATATGAAAACTAATTTCGTGCATTAGGTTCGTGTTGATTGTGTTTCCCGGTCGCCTTTTCCCCACCCGGCCTCGCTTCCTATTTTACATCCGGATGAGGAAGTACTCCCCCAGAATGAAGCCACAATGACCTCATGTGACCAATGGTTAATGGAGGGAATGCAACAGAAGCAATTAACCTAAAAGGCCCATAAAGGACACACAGGACAAGGTGGCAGGACGGACTCGCTTTTGGGGTAACTCAATATGGGCTTTAAGTCACTTTCTTGCCGTAAATCAGATTAGCTCGGCTATAACTATAACATTGCTTGCTCACTTACCCCGCATTTGTTTGATTTGTGTCCTGCTTTTTCGTTGTTTGCCAGGTGTCCTGTGAGCCTTTGGAAATCCTTAAGCTGTTGCCTTAATTATTATTGGTTCGGCGACACGCCAAAGTTTATTGATCCAGTAAATCCGATAATTTTGATTAACACTTGTTCATCCCACATCAGTTGGGAATTACGTAAGGTATTTACAAGTACTTAAAATATTACTGGATGTGGAGTGAAACATTCTGTTAAGGATATTTTGTGGCAAATTCTTTTGCACTCTCTGGCCTTATCTTTGTGGTAGCTCTTTTCATAGCTATTTACGGAGTTTCATTATTTGCATTCATAACTGCAATCCTTTCTGAAACTCCAGTTTCTTTCTCCGACTTCTTGTGTTATTATCCCCGCCACTCGACTCCCTTTCATAATAGCTCCTGTGGCACGGGAAACCCTGCCGCCGCTCCTCGGCCGCATTTCTAAGCTTTTTCAAATACTCGACTGTGGCAGAAATTAATTACACCGCCAGGACATAAGGACACTTGGCCCAGGACAGGGAGTTCATGGAGTGTTTAATGAAGCGGTCTAAGTGCCGGGTTTGCGGGGGTCTCACAAAAAAAAGGGAGGCCAGGGCAACGAATTTCCATATTTGCCCGTAGTCGTCACCGGCGTCGAGTGAGATAAATGGATGGAGGACAAGTCCTGGGGCATTTCTTGTGCCTTTCCCCCTTTCTTTCCACCTCAAGTGGACTTTTTGTCCAGTGCATCCAACTTCATTGAGAGGAATGGGGTGGGAATGGGGATTGCCGTTTCGGTTTCTGCTTGGACTGGGGCTGGGGCTGCCAATATTTCAGTTGGCCTTATGACAGCTACAAGTGCGCCCCTTGATAAGCATTCCGACGATCCCGGTCCCCATGTCCATGTTGCGGATAAAGCGACGACAACTGGACGATGTGCGATGCGAGATGTGTGAGGTTCCTGGGCAAGACAAAAGGCACATTGCAGGTTGCAAGTTGCAGGTTGATTCCTGGTTCTCGCGTGGGACGCCCTCCTCAAGGCTTCGCTCCACATGGTCGCGTGCTCCATTGTTTGTGTGTTCCCTGGAATTCCCCGATTCCGATTTCGATTCCGCATGAATATGTCAATGTAATGATCTCTCCACCGCCGTCTTCTTCAGGTTCCTCTGGCCGCGTTCGCATCTGTGGAATTACATAAATATTAACTTGTACTTTTTATAAACATGTTTTGCGCACCAGAATCAGAGGATTGGCTGCCTGGTCTCCTGGTCATGTTGAATTCAGAGCGGAGGAAGGCTTCGATTGATATGATTTATACACTGACGACCACTCCAGGCTGTCTTCATTCCTGGGGAATAGGTTAAGTGCCGTCCAGCAAGTTAATCTATTGACCAAGGCAAGTTATTAAACCTGATCTTAAAGTATTCTTAAAGAGCCAGCGCATTAGAGGCTCTGCTACAAATTATGTTCTGGTTTTTCTTCAGAAATCTACTGCGGTACTGGTACTAATGGGTGTAGGTTTTACAAAAAATGTAATCTAAGCCCATAAAATAATCATAAAGTAATTAGTTATTCTTTTTTAAGAACTTAAGAGAAGGTTTATAAAAGACTTTTATTTCAAGTTGATACTAAAATATTTCAAAGAGCTAAAAACAATTATAACTATTAATATTAATATATATAAGACATTTCAAGCTCAAATAGGTTTATTAATTTTTTTTGTACTCTGCAATATTACTTTATATATTTATATTAAAAATGTGATGAACATAAAAAAATATTTAAGTACTAAGAAAATATTTTTGTTTTATATATTTTTATAAATGGAAAAAAAAAATTTAGCTCTTTAAAACCTTACCTTTTTTTTGAATTGAGCCCTTTTTGCCAAACTTGTGAAGGGACATAAATAAGTATGAATATTAGACCAATACCACATTAATCAGCGTCAATGGGAGCGGAGCAGCTCCTGTCCACCGGATCGCTAAAGCGACTCAGTTGCGTTCCTGTCACATTTTGCATTTGTTTTTCCTTTTCCGCATTTTTTCCATCATTTTCTGCTTCTTCCCGCAGCCCCCTCCCCCACGGAAATACATGTGACAAGACTGACGAATGACTTGACGGCGAAATGTGCTCAAACAAACATAAATTCCGTGTCCGCCGGGATTGGGATTTGTTGACTGCTCCTCCGAGTGGCTGTCCCGATGTTTTCCCAATGTCCTGGCCAAAAGCACGCAACTGAGGAACGCCAGAAAAAGCCAAAGCTAACACACGAAACGAAGGATTGGCGCAGGTGCGCGTGTCGCGTCGTCTGGAATTGTAGTTTTTTGCCAGCGGATTGTGTCATAACTCATGGCAATGATAAGGATGGATGACCCTGCCTTATCGCTCACCACGCCAATCGGCTAAAACACACTCTAACTCACTTTTTAGGCCAATTTAAAGAAGTTTTCACGGACAGCAAGCACAAAATGACGCGTCCTGAGGATCAGTGTGTCCACACCGCGATCGGTGGACAACTAGGTGGCAACGCTGCTCATACGATCATGGCCAGTGTGTCCACATCCCAGTCTGTGAAAAACCAATTGGCAGTCCTTTTATAACTTAACCCCTTAATTTAATAATTTTATTTAAGTTTTAAAGGCATTTTTTTATTTATTTACAAATTAAACAAGTGTGTAAATACAAAATATGTGTATTTTCGCTTTACTCTGTTGGTGCTTGATCTTAATTGATTTCTTAAAGCTGGCAGTGCTCTGTACTCTCGGCTATATCAAATTGAAACCGATTGTATTAAACTTTTGCTTTATATTCGTTATTATTTATCAGTTGTGGTCTTGAGGTAGTTATCTCAATTTGTTGTAAGGCCTGTGAATTTAGAATAAATAGCTTTCTTTGCCAATATCGGTTTCCATATAGCTCTCAAAGCATATATATTTTTTATTTGTATTTTACAGCTTCTTGGGAGATTTATTCTAAGCTCCTAAATAAAGTCTTCTGATTCTGCATTTATATTTAAGTAAACATAGAAAATGTGTAATTCCTTGAGCATTATGTTACACCTAATCAGTTCGATTTGTTGTAAATATTCTCTTACAATTCTTACGATATAATGTTTGTACTTAACTAGCAAACAAAACGAAATAATTTACGCAGAAAGACACGTAAGCATACAATGGGATATATGTATATATCTGATCCTACAGATACAGCGCTAACAAAACAATAAACGCAAAACTTAATCGACGTCCGAAAACCATAAAAAACTTTAACGGAACGCATTGAACAAAATGTAAGCATAATATCAGTTAAATACGAAATAAGGAATTAATTTTGGTTATCCTTTAACAAATGCTCCTGCGATTTCACACCTGGAAGTCGTTGAAATACGTTTCCGTCACCCGGATCTTCTCCACGCGAATGTTGAACATGGCAAATCCGTTCATAATGTTGAAGGCGATGGCAAATACCACCAGCGCCGAGTAGGTTCCCAAGGCGATCCACCAGAGCAGCTGCTCGTGGAGCTTCTGCTCAAAGCTCTTGAGGACCAGCAGACCGATGGTTAGGCCAGCTATGGCTCCTGCCAAATGGGCCACATACGAAACAGCCACCACTGTTTCCGTCTGATCTATGGACACGAATTCACTCGAAGATCCCAGCTGCAGCTCATCGCCAGCATAGCGAGCATAAATGGCGAATCCAAAGTCAAAGGAAACTGTAAATGAAAAGAGGTTCTATTATGATCTATAGGAGCAACTCTCTAGTCAAATAACCCACCGAAAACTAGAATGTGAAGCAACTTGATGACTCCATAGCGCATCTGGTGATAGTTGAGCAGGACGTTGGCCAGATGGGCGGCCAGCAGAGCGTAGACTCCTCCACTGGCGCCCACAAGGAACACATCCGGGTCGAAGATGCTAGTGCCCAGGCTGCCCGCCAACACTCCGGAAAAGTAGATGCAGGCGATCCTTGTGGAACCATGGACCATCTCCAAAGGCAGGCCGAAAACCAGCTGCACTGCCACATTAAATCCGAGATGGAGCCACCCGGCATGGAGCACCATGTAGAAGAGGAAGCGCCAGATCTCGTGCCTTTTATCCGGGCGGTAGATGAACATCGAGTCCGAAGGTATGGGTCCCCTTGGAGCAGTCTCACCCGTGACCACTGAGTGATACACAAAGAAACCCAGCTGAGGGGGAAAATAATGTAAGTGTAAGGTATATTCAAGGAGAACCCATGAACCCACCTCCACTACAGTGACCAGGATGATGAAAAAAGGAGGCGGACAGCAGGTGTAGCGATCGGCATAGTACTTGCGATCCCGCTCCTCGGGCAGGATCTCCATGGCCACGGCGTGAACCATTTTCCGAAAGAGTGGCGGTTCGTTAAGCACCAACTGGAAATCGTTTTCAGAGCAGACTTCACGATCTCGATGGTGTACGGCACATTTGAAGCTTCGTGTCCGCTTGCCGCTCATCTGGAATTAAGTTTTAGGGGTTAAGTTAATAATAAGATTCATTAAATGTGAAAAATGATGGGAAAACACCTATAATTACAACCTTTTTTTGTAGGGTAAAGGACATTTTTAGCTAGGGTAATTCGATAACTTCTTATGTCAATGGATTTTTTTATGAAAATGGATATTCAAAATTCATTTATAGGTATGAGATCTGTTTAAAAAGGTATTAGCTATTTAATTTAAAAAATGTGTATAATAGGACACCTCAAAACGGTTCCCATGTGATGATACATATTTCAATAAAGCTGCCATCCCAGTAAGCCTGTGCCCTAAACTCAAAAAGCTATCACTAAAAACTTTGTAGAATTTCAGTCTATTGACAACCTTATTGGAATACGGATCACTGGTCATAACTAACAAACAAATTTTAATTTTAATTTATAGTTTTTCAAGTCTCTTTAAAAATGTCGAAAATTTATCTGAAGGCCATGGAGGAGGTGGTGCAGCGGAACAACGACAACACGAACCGGATTACGGAGCAGGCCCAGGGATTCGTGGTGTCGGAGAATGCTACGGATAGTCTGCTGCACACATCCTTTGATCTGACCACCGCCCAGTCGATTGTGAAGCACCTGCACGCCAGTTTCCTGAAATTGGCCCAGAGTTGCGTCCGTGATTTGGATCCCGATGATAAGCTGTGCTTCCTGCGGGTGAAAACCCGTAAACATGAATTTTTAGTTAGTCCGGAGGAGGTTTTCACTGTGACCGTGGTGTTGTAACCCCCTCGTCAAGTGAAGGGTTAATACGCAGGGTGGACAGTGTGTACACACAAGGAAAGAGGAAAAAGGATGAAAACCACTTGATTACACCCACATGCTACTGCTGTCTCACTTGCTCATTGATGGTGTTGCTGTTGCAAATCGCCGGTTGTCTTTAACCCACCGAAAACAAAAAACTAAACGAGCCATAAAATTATGAACATAACATTTATGCGTGTGACCGGCCAAACTAAATTATGTTAATTATGTAATTAAGATGTTGGCACATAGATGCCGATGTCGGCCATTAAAAATAACCACGAAGCGGGCAAAAATCCGCAAAAAGCGGAAAATGTGAATTGTGTTTAATTAAAAGTGGGGACGGCGCATCCAAATGAAGCCTACACGCAATTAAAATGCCCGATTACGATTGCGAAAGAAAAAAGGCCACAAATTAAAAGCTTGCCACGGCCTCAGGGCACAAAATAGTTACTTCCGCCAGTCTGGGAGGGGGAAATTTATGTATCTTCTAGTTAATCAGCACTAGTCGGCCAGCCTTAATGGTAGTAATTATCAAATTTTGTTTTAATTGATAAATTTCCTCTTGACAACTGGAAGCTGTGGCACTGGAATAATAATAAGGTGGCAGCTCTGGTCATTGCGTGGGTGTCGTGTGTGTGGGTAAGCAACCGTTTAATAAACATAAAATATAGTTTTAAGTGCAGCTAAAATAGGTTAACATGATTCCTGTAGTTTTCATAGGATATATTTTATGTGAATACTTTTATAACTGTAACTTCTCACAACTTTTTGGCTTCTCTTAAAACAACGACTTACGCGGTGAAATTACAACTCGAGTGCAAACTCCTTAAATTTCCTTATAATATAACCATTGTTATTATTTATTAGGCACAATTAACACTTAAACATTGAGGAAAAACGAACGGTTTTACAACTTTCCCGCCAGCGTGCGTAAGTTTCTCTTCGCGCTCTGCGCTTTCCACGCTTATTCTAGTTCTATTCCAGTATTCCATTGAGAACAGTGTTTTCCAAACAGTGTTGCAAAACGTCAGCTGATCTAATTGAGGACGCCAAGATCAAAAATAGTCCGATTTTACTTCCGAGTTGACTTTCCCTTCCGATTTGGACCAATTTCTGGGTATTAAATTGTTACGACTCGCAGACAAAGGGCGCTGAGAATCTGTGTTGTCAACAATGGGAACACGAACACCCACACGCATTGTAAACGGGTGACAAATCGCATCTTTCGGCAAGATCAAGCGATCACAACAAAGTGCCAACAGGGCCAATAGGGGAAAACTGTATTCCCAACAAATAATTGCTTATCGTTTGTTTGGCGGACGAAGGCTGCTGCGGCTGATAATGTCATTATCCTGGACGCAAAAGGAAAAAGGAGTCGGAGTCCTGCTCACCGCATGACGTCACCAGGTAGGCGACTGCCCTGACATTTAACGGTGTTAAAAGCATACAGTACAGTCGTGTGCAAAATATTAAGACAAACAAACATCTTAACAAAAGTTAAAAACCTATTTTTTATAATAAAATTATGTATGTTTATTTATAGTAACCTAAATAACTAAAATAAATGTAATAAATTCGAATTAAAGCCAGAGTCCCAAAGTGTTTTTGAATATACTTTAAAGTTTAAAAACTTTGTTATAATTCAACTTGATTTTAAATGTTGGGTCATATCGAAAACCTTTTTTTATAGACTATCAAGATCTGATTCATTCATCAAAAAATTCTTTACTTTTCAGGGAAGCTGAAATATACATGTTCTTCCTTAAGGACTATAATTTTGCCCATAAGTGTATATGCGCCTCATTCACCTTCGGTAGGACAGGCCGACAAATTGACGCAAAACATTTAACGCGGGGGATCTCGGGATTGGGTCGGCGGACATGGTCGAACGGCAGACGGGAGCGAGGAGTGAGGGGTGAGGAAAGGACCACAGGACGACGGTGCCGGCTCTTTCTATGGGCCACAAAAAATTCCTTTGAATTGCGTCCGTTGCAGCAGAAACACACAAACACGGCGATATGTGTTTTCCGTATTTTTTGTTGCCTGCGGCCTGTGGCTATGCGCAAAAAAGGACATCTCCTCCGGCGGTTGCTCCGGTGGCAGGATGACTGGCGGTCCACAGGATCGGTGGTTCGGACGTTCAGAGGTTCGGAGGTTTTTGTGGGCCCTCTATTATGCATTGCGTACGGCCTCACCCGGCGTGTTGACATTTTTATTCCAAACAGTTGAGCAATATTTATAAACTGCCCGGGAAAAAAGGAGCAAGGAGGATGTGGATGAGGAGGTCATGGTGCATGATGCATGCCCAATGGCTTTATTTCCGGGTGACCATGTAAAATGTCCTCGTGGTTTGCTGCTTATTAAATGAGCTATTTGATTAACATTGTTCTGTGCTTGCTGTTTCGCTAATGAAAGAACAAACGCGAATATTTGGCCTGTAGGCACAGAGGTCACAAGGCAAAAACCATGGACAGCCATTTTAAACATTTATCAGAAAATATATGTTCCATATTTTATGCATGTTAGGAACCTCTTCCACTGAGAAAGTTCAGTCTTGTTAAGTAGAAACCGAACTGTATACACAACTAAATTTTAAACATTTTATTGCAAGATACCATTAAAATTTTGGAAGAAATATTTTTGAATAATCATATGTTGTGTTATGCTTGTATTCCGATATTTAATGACACCCTAAGGTTATTAAATGAGCAATTTTAAACGATGTTTTACATTTTAAAGATATTCCTATTTTTAATTATAGTCTGGCAAAGACAGCCTTTACCGAAATTAATTTAATATATATATTTTAAGATGTTCCTATTCATAGTTAAAGTCTGGCTAGGACAGCCTTAAACATTCATTAACTTCCCACTAATAGTAGTGTTCATAAACTAACATTTCTCAATTAACCGTGAATGTACAATTTTGCTTGCCACTCAATTACTTTGTTTTTCTTTGGCAGCTTATTAAATGTCATATTTTGCATGCCCAGGAGCAAGACAAAGTCTGTGAGATTGCGGCTCTGGAATTGTTGATGTTTGCACTGGCGAAACACCTTGGAGACTGGGAACGAGATGATCTAATTGAATGACAATATTATGCCAAGGCCTAATTCAATTTGCAATTCGCATCGCTTGGAAAGCGCTGCAGGTGGAGGAACATGGCTGGAACATGGGTTGAATCTTAAACAAACACGGCAATTACAGCAAACGGATGCACTTGTCTGGCCAAATGACTTGGGCCTGCTCTGTAATTAGCCCGGGGACGAAAGGATGCGGGATGGGCTTCTGTTGGCCCTTTGTCGGCCTCCTCGGGGGTCCCGCCTAATTATCACATTTTTACTCATTAAATTCACATTTGCTTGTTTTTCTCCCCCGTTTCTTTTTTGGTTTTTTTTGGCAGGGCCGAACCCGCTGCCTAATTACAGGGTAATCAGGCTTTCAGCCGCCGTGGCTACCGAATGATGATTGATTCAAGGATGGAGGAGTATGCTAAAAAGCCAGAAAATTCCCTACTTACCAACTCATTTTCATTTCAGGTGACATCTGCCCAAGCGCGTGCCAAACAAAGGGAAAAAAACACAGAGAGGAAAGTGCAAACAGCAGCTGAAATGGATATGGAAAGCAGGAACGTAGTCGAGGAAAAAGCAAATCGAAAACTGATTTGGAGCGGAAGTTCGTTTGCACCTTTCTGCAGTTTCCTGTATTTGCCGCCGCCGCCGCCAGAACAATAAACACACACAAGCTGCGGCATCCACAATTCCACAATCTACAGCCACTTCCATATCCACAATCGCAATCAGAATCGCCGAGTGTTCCATATAGTACGAGTACCTTAACTTGTCTTGCCCTTTGACGCCGCCTTTTGTACTAAGAGAGTTGAGATGGGAAATGGGATCTGAATGGAATGGAGATTGAGACGAAGTCACCGCCCGTTGGCTTTTGAATGAGCTGCAAATCTAAAGCTATGCGCGATTTCGCAAAAGTACAGATTAAGGATATGCGTGTGCAGGCAGAAAAATAATGAAGTACTTCACAATTGGTATCGGTATTGAAGGAGCACACATTTTTGAACTACATTATGTCTTTTAATATATATAAGTGTCTTATTAGGGTGATAGTTATATGTAGACATTTAAAAAATATCAGAAATGTTTATGTAAGCGATGTTGTTTTATACGATTCCATTAATAGTGCAAAATGTATAATGATTTCTTTATCTAAATTTTCTTTCCATGTATGCAAAAGCAAGGAGCACGGATTCCTGGCAGCTGCTCCTTCGAAACGCTGTATTTGATTTGCGATTCGAGGCAGGCGGAAATGGAATGACACGCGAGGCACTCTTACTTTGTTTGAGGATTGGCAAAAATGGTGCCTCCATTGCCCGACAAAAAACAGAAGGAACCAAGGACCAAGGACCCGTGAGCCGTAAGAGACTTCCACTTGAGCCGCACGCATTGTTTGCATTTGCGAGTCGGAGGGGCGTGCTGGAAATCGGATATAGGATCGCTCGCTCGAGACAATCAAATAGCGCAGCGGAGTTTTCCAATCCACTGAGCAGCCGCAATCGGCGAGGGAATCAGCTGCCTATAGACCATGAGAAGACTACTCTATGAGGAGATGAGGTGCCAACCCGAGCCACGCGTGTTCTATGTCCAGTGGTCAAAATTGGACACTGGCCGTCTCATTAGCGCACCAAAGGTTGCAAGGTTAATGATGCGCACCCCGTGCTTGGGCTTCCGTCTGCCCATCTCCACCTCCTCGGGCAATTATGCGACGCACTTGAGCTTGAAGGGCCACGGAGCAAAGGAGTACACAGTAAGAACCCGATTTTACAACATTTCCCAATAAAATATAATATATATACATAGGTATTCATGGAGTAGTAAGCTACAGTAGAAGCTTTAAAATTCTATAGTTAAATTAAAGTAATTTTTATCTTGTCAGTAAATTAAAAGCATGCCCAAAATAAATAGTTGAGAATTATAAACGAATGAAGAAAGTAGGCAGAAAAAATGCTTGGGAATTGTAAACATTTCTGAAGAATATTTTTTAAATAACCGCGCTTTAATAATTGGATCAAAACTTTAAAAATTATTATAGAGAACCCATTTACATTATTAAAACATTTTTTTGTCTGCACGCGTAGGAGGAGTGCAGTGGCCATTCATTGACCCCGGCTAGTAGCTAGAAGCTCGGGTTTTTATGGTGTCGTCGTAAATGTCAGGTGCGCTCCCCATTTAAATTTATTCAACGTAATTAGTTGTCTCCCTATAAAGTGAGTATATTGTTTTGTACAGAGTGCCAGCCTAGGAATCTAATTTGATTGCCAACTACAAGTGTTAGGGGATTACAATGCAGTTCTTCCGCTAGCACGAAAAAATTCGATTTCCTCTTTTTTGGTAGATACATTTTGGTCGCGCGGATTATACGACATATAAACCAAATAAATGGGACCCAACACCTGCAGGTGGAAAAACATGCAAAAATGATCATTGCGAGATATGTGAACGGGACATGACGCCGCAGGATGCCAAACAGAGGACGCTCCTCCAGTTGCAGTCCAATCTCCACCACTTGCGCCTGGGTTATCGGTGAATATTCCGTGACGATGGCAAAAATATTGCAACGCAGCCAAAAGGGGGGAGAGAAGAAGGGGAGGACGAGTGCCAGGAAGGCCAGGAAAGGGGTCGGGGTCTGGGTCCTGGTCCATTTCGTGTGCACGTCGTTATCCTTGCCCCGGATGCACAACAATCAAAATAAACGGCTGCCAAATTGACCATTGACCAAACATCGTCAGCAGCAAAAAACGAGTAGGTGGAGGAGGAGGAGCAGAACCACTGCAGCAGGATGTGGAGGCGAAAAACACCTCCAGGATGTGGGTGAGTGAGTAAACCCCATTGGACAGCGACATCATCTTTGCCCCCGTCACGTCGACTTCGAGCACAATTCACGAGTCAAGCAGCCATCACGGAATAAACATGAAATTCTTTTTTGTTCAGCAAAGTGCAGGAAAAACGATTAAAGGTAAAAATGGGAAAACCTTAAGTACATTTCGATTAAGAAACGAGTTCAAGGTGATCCATAAAATGTGAAAGTCATCAAATGAAGGACATGCCTCCTGTTAAGATTTCTAAATATCAAAGGTTTCATTTTGCAGTAGATAATATAATCAACAAACTTGAAATCCATTCAAGAACTCAGCTTAAAAATGCCCAAGTTCAAAAGGCAATACATTCTATTGAACAATATTAAATCTTAAGCAATCGTAATAATAGAGAACCAAACTGCCTTCTTAATATTGATATCGCTTAGCCCAGAAAAATGTGTAATGACCCATAATTGATACCCTATAAGCTATAAGATGCCGTCAAGAGTTAGTAACTGCCGCTTCATAATTAACCAGAAATGTTCGCTCATCTCATCGTGGCCCCACTCGATTTACGCGATATTATTGCAGAATAATGAAATCGCCAAGAGATTCCAATTCAATCTACGCGCCGCGTAGGCCATTTATGGATTGGCATTGATTTAATACCGCGTCGCGAAAGATCGCCTCCAGGTTTTGTTTGGTTTCCCCCGGGTCCGAGGCGCAAGGCATTTTGCACCTACTTCGGGGCCCGAGAGCAAGATCAAACCCGAGACCAAGTCGCACTCGCGGCTCCAAAGTCCGAATCTGATCTGATTCCGATTCCGCCGCCTATCGCTCCGCGAGATCAGCGGCAGCAGACGCCACCTCGTCGGAGGCTGGATCAGAAGGCAGTTGAAGTGAGGAGGGCATCACAGCACTCAGGGAAATTCAACTTCTGAAGGTGGTCTTAAGAAAACATTTGTACCTTTTTATGGAAAAACTTGCTTTAAGAAACTCGAATGAATTCTGAAAAATATTTTACTTGTACCACTTTATATTGCTTAAGATTTAAGATTATTATAAAACATATCACACTTACAATGATATCATATCAGATTTACATTGATATCATAGAAACAATATCCTGCATTATCAACGATATTTCGTAAGATAAGAATTTATATGTATAGTATAGCAACGCATTGATCCTTTATTTGAAAACATACTTTTAAAGCTCAGAAATACTTATTTTTGAAAATGCAACTATTCATTTTTAAAGTAGAGGTGTTTTGAGAAGTATGAAAATTATTTCAGAGACTTAAAAGAATACCAAGAATTATATAAACAAATTTTTTAAAATTCATATTTTTTTTTTTTTTTAGAGAATTCTTTAGAACTCTGCAACTTTTTTGCCGAATACAAAACGATTAAAAGGATTTTTTCTGAATGCAGGCACTCCAATGTTTATTCAATAAACCCGATCTGAGATGCGGCACCAGGAGGAGAGGCTGCAGAGCAGATCAGAACAGCAGCTGGCTGGCATTCCTCCGAGAAGCAACCGTTCTGCAGTTGGCCTGGCCCATTCAAGACAAGCCGCTGGAATTTCTTGGTGCGTGCTCGGCACAGGCACAGTCACTGGCACAGGTTCAGATATGAGATTCAGCTGGTCCAGCGTCTGCCAGCTGCGTCTCCTGATTATGATAATGGCAGTTGGACGGACTGGACCGGATCGGGTTGGACCGGGACAGGAATCGGTACTGGGAATGGGAGACTGGGACCACATCGCACCACCAGGCAGTGGAAGCCCAGCTCAGCTCATCCCGTCTTCGCTGGCCAGTTGTGCGCAATTGCTTTCGTTTATGATCGAATGATCGAATGCCTGGCAGCTCCGTTGACTTTCTGATTAATGCAAGAATGCTCCTTGGCGGCGTTCCTGCTTTTTGCCCGATCCCACCACCACCGACTGCAATTAAAAGTGGATGCTCCTCAATGGAAGGGTCACTGAAAATTGGCGAAGGCAATACACGACATTACAGCCAAAGACAAGGTCGGAGCATCAACATACTTATCCCTATAAATGTACTACCACAATTAGATCTTTTTTGTTTAACGAAACTTGAGGTTGCCCTAGGACAAAAATAAATATGAGGTAGCTACAGTTACTTTAAAAATCATACATATACATACATATCCAAATCCCCTATAAAATTAACACTATTGGCTAAATTATATCATATATTTAGGTATTTATAACTATAAATAATATTACTAATCTTTAATTAATAAGATTTAGTGCATGTTATCATTTAGATAGGATATACGAGTAATATGTTTTATAGGGAAACCCAGGACTTTATAGGTTCAAGATTTTCAAGTTTATTATTTCACCTTCTAATATAATAAGTTTATAACCCTATGAAATTCACAACTACTCAAGTCTTGCCTATATAGCTTATTGTATTGCACATGAGAGCATTCCCAGTTCGTCTACGACCATGGTGCCGCAGATTGATTCTTGACCGGCTGCCGCCGCCTGCTGTGCCTGATGCCCCATGCCAGCGAAAGAAATCCCGAACCCGAACTCGAACCCAAACCACGACCAGATGCAGACCGATCCGAGTAAGAAGACAAACGACAGTCGCCAGCTAGCCTCGTGCCTCCAGTTGTCATAACGTTCAACACATCGCGCCCCTCGGTGGCGTCTTTCGTCTTGGCCACATCCACATCCACAACCACATCCTCGCCCGACTCCGATTTCTGTGCGCTGCCATAAAAGGATTTGTCACGTGCGAGCTTTTGTTGAAAATGCAACAATCATCAGCCTGCATTATGCATGGCGCATTGCCAGGTCGGACATCGTATCTCGGCATTCCTGGCGATCCCTCTCCAGCACTCCTGCTCCATCACATGCTCTCCTCCGGCAGCAGATCATTGAAATTTATAATTAAGTGGAAATATGTTGTCTACGATGGCAACAAGGATCTCAGATTGCTGGCGGAGATATGAATTCCTTTCGGAAGATACAGAAACAGAGCCCTCATTGGAATAACAAATGCATTAGCAGGCCAAACAAGGACCTAATAATGTCCTCGTCGGGGGAATGTGAATGGAAATCCATTTAACAAAGAATGGAATGGGCTGGGTCTCATCCACAATTACCGTTAGGCACACACACCACACACAGGGACAAACAAGGACATGCCAGCCTGGCTAATTCATGACTTTAAGGACACTTTGGCAAACAATCGAATGGGCCAAGGCGAAGGCGATGGAATATTCACTTTGCAATTGATTATGCATGAGTGTTTTGTCGTGTGCGGTTTGTGTGCGTGCCAATCAACTGGGTAGAATCAATCAAAATGCAATAGGATTGCCCTGCCAATCAAAGGCAAAGCCGAGAAAAGAGCTACCACCCCCACAGAAGTCACTTGTCCCGCTGGAGTAGCTGCCTCGGAGTTTAAATCCAAGGCAGCCGGATCCTGGCCAGTATTTTCGGACCACATCAGGACAAATAGCCAGACCCCAGGTAACCAGGACAAACACTCAAACGTCCAGCGAAGCGTTGCGAAAGGGCCAAAGGAGATATAGGAGTACTTGGAGAAAAACCCTATCAAAGTTTGTAAGTAACTCTTAGTTCTTTGGTATTTAATTAGGTATGTTCTATAAATGATATGCAAATGTTTTTTCAAAATTTAATTATTAATTATGTCCGATTGATATGAAATTTGATATGTGGGTGGGAACCTTTAAAATATGTAATTTTCCTTGCGGTCAGAGAAATCTATCTATGAAACTGTGGCTTTTACAAACTGTGTTTTCTTCTATAAAGTAACACCATTTCTTTCACTGTGTATCCGCAAGCGTTGCATTTATTTGCCAAGCGCACTTTTTGCATTTGCCAAACAAGAGTGTGGCTCTTGCCAGGCCGAAGGAAGCCTTGTCCTCCGTCTGTTCTGTTTGAACACGAGCCTACACTTTGGTCGTCGTCCTGGCCGAGTACTTTGCACCTGTGTTTGCACTTAAATCGAGTTTGCCGTTGATGAGCAGCCAGGGACAAACACACGCACGGTAACTTGGGTACTTTGGTTACCCGGTTACTCGGCCAGTTGGCCGGAGGATAGTGGATAGTGGCGATTGTAATTGCGGTGCACTCACCACATTCACAAAGTCCTGGAACGTCACGTAGCCGGGTCCGGTGGGCAGTTTCGCCTTCTTGGCCCGCTCCAAAAGAAGCTCCCGCTTGTTCATAGGCACTTGGGACAGGAACTCCGGAGACCTCAAGGCCACCAGGAATTCCTCGACGGATATTTCACCGAAACCCTCGGGATCGAACTGGAGTAGAGAAGAAGTAATGATAAAAACCGAGCAGAATTCGGTATAGTGGGCATTAGTTTACTTACCATATCAAAGAGCAGTTTCCATTTCTAAAAATAAAGTTAGAACAGAAAATATTAAGCACGGTATTTAAGATAAGCAAAATATATGTATACAGTTCAATAGTTCATTAGAAAATGTATAATAGAATGTAAATTCAAGAAGGAACTCACATCTCTCAGTAGTTCCCGGCGTAGTTCGGCCTCATCAAAGTCAGAGTTTAGGGAAGTGTGTTCCGTATCATAGCCGGCATCATTGGTGCATTGCTAGAAATTAATAAATTTATAGATCTTAGCACTGAAAACTTCTACAAGACCTTACGTATCGCATTTGGGTGTGCGAAATGGATCCAATAGAGGCCAGGGATCCGGCTATGGTGGATATGTGTTCTATATCAGCCAGGGTCTCCTGCTGACTACTACCGCCGGCATTTTGCTGACTGGTTGGGTTTTCCAGGGCCCGAGAGCTTCCTCGCTCGGAACCGGGCCACATCCTGTTGTTCCTGGCTATCCAGTTTTGTTCTTGGGATCAGGGGTATATTTTGTTGATATATTGTAGATTGGCAGTGATTGTAGGGACTAAAGTTCCGCTGTGAATCATATGACATTTATTTAAAGATTTCAGATTCTTCTTAACTAGTCTTTAGAAACAAAAATTATTTAAAAAATAATTTGCCATTATATTTTTTTTTTAATTAAAGAATCAAATTTATTAATAAAATCTATTTTTATGAATCAAACCCTATTTCCAGAGATTTAGTTCGTTTACGTTTCGTTTAAAAATCATTTTAAATTAGACTGAATATTATAATTGTGGTGTATTTTAAGTATTCTATTAATACTTCCTAAATTCGTTTCGGCTTTTAGTTGTCTAAGTTTCCCCAATTGGAGCCACTGTGCAGAGCTTTTCATGAGCTCTTTCTCCAAAAGCTCTTCTGATTGAAATGAAACTTGGGCGCCAGAGCTTCCACCACCGATTTGGTCGAATGCGTCGAGATGTGGTTTTCTCGCGTGTTTATGATTTTTCGAGTGGCGGTTCAAATACCGCCGAGGTCGAAATATTTATTTATTTGATTTTCATATACTCCCGTTTTTAGGGCCTGTGAAAACAGTTTGTTACAATTTGTCGTGTTTGGGATTGTAGCACTACTTTGCGGGCCCAGAAAAAATAATTGTCGGTTAATCATAGGCTAAAGCCGGTAATCAATACCTTAGTCTATTTCATGCCCGGCAAACATTTTTCCTTTTTTTTCTTATCCTTAAGCGCCCTTTGTTTTGATTGCCAAGGCAACGGTTTGTTGTCGTTTTCCCCTATTTCCTTGTTATCAATAAGGAGAGGTTATTGATCCTGAAGGGAATCCCTGAAAACTGCGCAGAATCCGTCTGGCAAACAATTGTTTTGCACTTTGTTTACGCCTCGTCAATTGCCGGAACTATTTTGTTTTGATTTTGTTGTATTAAACTAGGCAATTGGCATTGATTGAGTGCTTTTGTTAGCTAAATGAATGAAATTCGCTTTCTTTTCGTTCTTTCTGACTTTTGATGGGTTTTTTTAGCTAACCCCTGGGGATAATTGCTTTCTTTGTTATTGAAGGACAGGATTCTTGAATATAACTTTACATTATGCTGTTTCTTAAAGCATTTTACCGAATTGCTGGCACCCAGAAATTAAAAAGATATTGCACCTTCACATCCAGGCAACAACAAACAAGCGAACTTTCCACCGGCAAAATGACAACTAAAGGGAGAAATGCCAAAATAGAGAGGAGGGAAAGCGAAAGAGAGAGCAGGTGAATGGGGTTGCTAAGGGCTGCTCTCTGGGGGATGCAGGATTCCCACGGCACATGCGCTCCGTCTGGCAAGCATTTCCAACCCGTTGGCATTTCCTTCCACTTCCACCCACCTCGCCCCTCCCCTCTTCGGGCCCAAATGACGCCATTCCAGAGCTCGACACTCACACCCTCCAACTTTTACATTGATGCAGCTTTATTGAAATTTCATACCACATACATATGAAGACGAAGGAGAAGCTCTCCTCTTGCCACACTCCACACTCTGCTACAAAGTTGCGATTGTATGGTGATGCTTTATAATTACAGTTGAACTTTTAAACATTTCACTCCGAATTTTGAGTATTCCTTTTTTGGCAATAAAAGCTTGAAACATATTTTAAAAAAGATTTAAAATCTTAGAAGTTTTTTCCCCAGTTATAATTTAAACCAGTTAACATTTTAAATCTGCATAGTTAATTTTTTGAAATAGAAAATTTATGAGTTTCCTGAGTTTGGATTAAGGTTAGCTAATTAGCTTTCCCACTTATGGTAATGGTTATAATGTAATAATCAAAAGAAAAGTTCAACTGTAAGATTATAAATTAACAACAGAGGGAATATGTGGGTGAAAACTCTGATCCCATCTAATTATTTGGATGGTAAAAAGAAAGTGTAAGACACAGGCGTGATGACGCTTACGAATCAAATTATATGTATACGTAATATAAGGTAACTAATGATAACATACAATGTTAAAAATATTTTTAATGCCAAGCGCAGAACTTTTAAAAACTGTTACTTGCAATTATTTACAGTGCTTACGGTCTAGTCTCTATGGGTCTAGTTTAAATAGCTAGATTATGCAAAACGATCCTCCAGAACTTGGAGCGATTAAGGTGTTTGATGCGAAAGCACAAAAAATGGGGAGTGGGCATCGAATAATGAACACAAATCTAGGAACAGATCGCACAGTTAAATTCAATACGTTTATCTATATAGCTAGAGAAAATAACTATCGATCCAGGGGAATTCAATTCTTAAGGATTTATTTAATCTCCAGCTGTCTTGCTTTTTCTATCAGTTATTATCCTCCTCTTTCCGGTTTTAACAATATTTACACTTCTGACGGCCTAAAAAGATCGCTGGCTTACAACATGTGGTACATCATATACATATATAATCTATTAATTATGTAATTATCGAATATTTTTGCTTGATTTTGCTTCATTAGGTTTTAGTTGCTTAATTCTCGCGTAGCTTAAACTTGCATCTATCTGTTGCTTTTGCTGTAAACATAAAAGTCAAGGGAGAATCTCTTGAACAGTATAACACTTGCACACTTGCCTTAAAACGGGGAACAGAGGAAGCAGAAAAAAACATTACAATAAACTCGAATCCTAAAAGTAAGGTGCTATCCTACATATCCGCTTGGCCATCAGCCCTCCACCATGCGATCCGATCCGGAGTCGCACTGTTCTATAACCAGGCGAGCGATTCGCTTGATCTCGCAGTAGGGACTCTCGTGCTCGATCAGCTCGTTGAGGATCTGGATGCCGTTCTCCTGCTCCACCAGCTGGCAATATTTTTCTGGATAAACCTGTGGGAGATGTGCAAAAATTACTTGAGAGTTCTATACAGGATTAGGGGGCTATACACCCACCTGCGTCAGATTGGCCAGGGCCCAGACAGCCCAATGCTGGCACTGGGGCGTCTCGTAGCAGCGCACCAGACTCAGGATCGGCTCAAAGCTGCGGTAGTTGATGTTTCGCTCACTCTTGATGTTCCACCGCTGGATGGCGGCCACCATGCGCTCCAGCACGTGCTCCCGGCTGGGTGTCTTGATCGTCCAGGCATCGGCTCCGTCCGAGGCAATGTGCGCCAGCACTCCAGCCGCATTGTAGCTGACCTGGAAGCGCAGGTTAGCATGGTTAGCACTGCCCACCTCTCTCTCCCGCAATCTCGCCATCAAATTCGCACTAGCACCACCCACCTCGATGCCATCACTCACGGAGTCCAGCAGGCGGGCGAACACCTCGATGAATTCCTGGGTCATCAGCTTGGGCCGCAGCCACTTGACCTCGGCCACGTTGCCCAGGAGGCCCATCATGTTCCGCAGCAGCTCGTCCCGATCCGGGAAGGTCTATTACAGAAAATACAGTTCAGTTTAAAAGGTTTCAATACACAGGAAGCAATCCTAATTGGTGATGAGATCAATGAGTTTACATATTTTCGCTTCCCCACAGCAAGTCTTGAAGTTCCTCTAATACGACAATAAATATAGATTTATAGAACTCAATCTTTTCATCCTCAGTTCTCTGTATACAGTAAATCTCTTCCAAACTTACATGTAAACACTTGAGGAAATACTCCATGCCGCGGCCTTCGAGGAATCTCTTACAATTAATAGCAGTCTCATCGGTTACGTTCCACATGGTGGACCAAGCCACCTCCATCACATCGTCGAAGACGGAGCGAGTAAGGCGATCCTTGATCAGCGTTAGCATGGTCTACAAAGACACCATCGATTAATATAAATTCCTGCGGAATTTTTTTGATTTAGACATACACTAACTACGCCCAACTCGCCCAGAAAGAGCTTCTGTCGCCCATCCACTTGGCAAGCCAGTGTGTTCAGCAGATAGATGGCTATGCGCTGGACAAATCCCTCTTGTTCCGTCTTGGAAACGCCGTGCAGCAAGATCTTAATAATACGCACGTACTCGAAGAGCTTAAAAACCAGGAAATTAGCTCGATTCAATGGAATATCAGAGCAATCCTTACCACATCGACTGGCATGTGAAACTGGGTGAGAGTGAGGTAACCATTCCGCAGCATGGTGTCGTCGGTGAGATGCATCTCCATGCCATTAAGCAGCGTGCGAATGATGTGGTTGCGCAGCAGTGTTCCAAACTTGGAGCGATCCCTGCCCTTTACAATATAGAACAGTGTGGCACTGAAAAGGGATACCCGTATTAAAAAAGGATATTATTTATGTTAATATTAGGACCGACCTGCCGGAGATTTGCATGTGCTTGAACTTGAGATGCCGGTCCATGGCGGAGAGCACAACGTCCAGTGCTGTGTGTATGTCCTTGCAGTTCTCGAAGCGGAAGAGATGGTACAGATCGTTGAGTACCTACAACAATATAAACATTATAAAATCAGCTTAAACAATCCAATTTCCAGACTCACCCTTGTCAGTAGCACTGGTCTGTCGTGATAATAGCGAGCTGCGGTGAGGATCTGCTGCTCGTTGGCATCGCCAGCAACTTCCAGAGCTGGGATATCGTGTCTTTTGCATGCCCAGTGGGCCGTGTGATAGAGTCCGAGGAACTGCAGCGGTCGCTGGGTGCGTGACGCCAGTCCCGGGATGTCGGTGAGGGCAAAGTTCTGATCCATTTTGGTGCTGGGCGTGGAACTGGCACTCGTCGACTCCTTGGTGGCCACCCCGTTGCCCGCCAAATTCGTGCCCGAGATATCCAAGTGTGTGAGGTGCCGCAGGTTGTCCATCAGCATCTCCAGCGTTTGATCGGGCAGATCGTAGGTGCCATGGCCATTCCCAGAGCTCGAGATGGAAATGTCCAATGTGCAGAGTCGCCTCAAACAGCAGATTGCATGCAGCTGATTGGCAATTGGCCACACATTGAACAGGATGAGCGTGTGCAGATTGGGCAGCGAACCCAAAGCCTCCAGGCTGAAGTTGGCCAGGACGCATGAGGTCAGATCCAGGTGTCCCAGGTCGTGCAGGTGGGCGAACTGCAGCCGGTGGTGCATCACCACACCGTTCAGCACTAAGCGCCGCAGGTGGGGACAGGTCAATTGGAAGTCCACCGGATCTTTTTCGTTTGGCTCCGCATACTGCAGCAGATGGGAACTGATGCCCAGCTCCAGGGATCGCAGGCTGTCGCCGTAGTGGGCCAGCAGGTGGTGAGATCCCACGGTTATCATGTCGCAATACCACATGGACAGAGCGAAAAGCTTGTGGCGCATAAGGGTCTCCAACCCTGAAAGATTTAAAAACATGGTTGTAATAAGTGGAACAAATTTTTTTAAATTTACAAAATTCAGAAATGATAGTACACTTATTTGTCTGAAATAACCAACGAGTTGGAACTTTTTAGATTGCTTTAAAAGATACAACAAAAGGCTATGTGCATAGAGATTTACATAGTTTTACATATGCAGCCCGGTTCCCATTGATTAATTTGAAGGCTTCAGAGCAACGTGTGGAAGATTTGGAATATTTTGTTTGAAACAAGGTTTTAAATATCCGACAAACGGACACGAAAGACATCATGATCTCCGAGTGAATTCTGTTCAATTACTATTCAATGGAATTATACAACGCCGGATGCGAAGAATCCAGCTCACCTATGCTGCTCAGGGTGCTGTTGCGCAGATTGACGATTTTGAGCGATGTGCGCTGTGTGTCCTCGAAAAGGCGGATGACGCTGTCGTCCAGGGGGCGATTGAAGCGCTGGTAGTTCTCCAGGAAGCCGTCACAGATCTCGTTGGGCAGCACGATGCCAGGATTAAGGCCACGCTTGCCATCGAAGCGATGGCTGCTGATTATGTCTAGGTTGTTGCACAGCTTCTGGTAGGCGATCTCCTTGAGGGTCAGCGGCTCCTCGTCCAGCGAGCCGTCCTCCATCAGCCGCACCTTGCAGCTCATCTTGGGGCCGCAGTTCCTGTGCTCCGCCAGTGGTGCCTCAATGGTGCCCCTGTTGTCTGGAAGAAAATGGAGAAGTGGGAACGATGAATCATCGGAAGCTCAAAGTGGGTATTTGGCCTACGTTACACATTTCATCATCGCCTCAAATAAAAAACTACTCATTTCCCATTTCTAAACTTCTTATTTGTCATATTTATAAATTACCAATGTCAACTTGGTCGCAAATAATTAATATACTTGGCTTTTTTTGAATCGAGCATCATATAAATTTTCGTACAATAGTTCTTATGAAAGGGATTACACGTGTTAATTCAAATATTATGTTCAATTATTAAAAATACCTATATTTTGTATTTCTGACATATTAAAAAACCACAATTTTATGACATCATGATTATTATAGAATCGATCTTATACGGTTGATAATAAAATTTATTTGAAAACAGGTTTCCTACTGAAAACTATTTCCAATAAAAACCATTGTAGACAGGCTTTAGTTTATCCCATTTAGTGCGTTTATTAAACAATTTATCGAGTGATAGTTTGTTTGTCGTTTAGAAAGGGGTTCGACCTTTAACAGAAAGTTGTTCTAATTCATTCAAATGGTTCTAATAAGAAAGTGTTGGTTAAAGAAGTATACACTTTAAAAAGTATAGCATCTGAAAAGTTTGGCTCTTTACTTAATTTCGCTTTAAGACTGCAAGTCACTAGGGAAGTGATTTGACCTTTAATTGAAATCAGCTCTATTTAAGATTACAAACATTGTTCATTGTTTTTGTAATGGAGCCCCTTACTGTTGGAACTTTGTGTTCTGCTTAAGAGAAAGTGTTTGTTGTTGCCATAAACTCTTTAATTATTATTCTTTATCTTATAGGCATTACTTATCGTTATTTGAGTATGGGAAGTGGCTTGACCTTAGAACTGCTGAAACTTGAGTTCCCTTGGTGACTGGCCAATCTTGCCCAGACTTTCAAACAGAGGCACGTGCCTCTTGGCTTTAATCTGTTTTCAGTTCTTGGGTTCCGATAGCCATTATATAGCGTTACATAACCAAGGGTCATCTAATTGGCCAGGTGAGATAGGGATACACAGATTATAATCTCGGGGCAATCTCACTCAAAGACCAAAACAAAGTGTAAATCTATATCGTGTGTGTATGCGCAAAAGACAATCTCAAGTTCCACGGATCACATACATATATCAACTATCACAAGTATGTACAATAAAAAATGCCAACAAACAAAATGTTTGCGTGTGTGTGGGTGCGTAGTTATTGAAGAAAACGAAAAAAAAGCTCTAAAAACACAATAAAAAGCGTCAGTCTGTCTGGCTTATCTGGGCGACTAGACAAATCGGAAAAACCTGAATAGCACGGAACTCCAAAGTGCTAGGGAACAGCTGTCCGGATACTTTTATCTCGGATCCATTACAATCCGATTTCGAACCCGTGGGTCCCCATGCTTTCTGTACCTTTTATCTCTTAATGTCGCCCCAAAAAAGCAGCCTCCAAAAATCCCTCGCTGCTTTTGCTTTTGCGTTTGTCTTTGCCTTTGACTTTTCCTTCCTTGCCTTTGCTCGGCCACTGCTGCTGTGTCTTTGTTTGCTTTTGCCACCGAACTGACGAATTGCGAGTTTTTCACGCGATTGCACAGCGTTTTACCGTTAGCCGCGGCACTCAAGCGCCAGAAAATGCTATTTGTTTTTCTATTTCGCGTTTTTCGTATGGAAATCACTTCATTATTTTGATTTCTATTTTCTTTCTTCTCGGCAGCGTGACCAGATGGCGGAACTGGAATAACGGTGAAAAATACCTTCACTTACATTTTAAAATCGATCGGTCTATCGATAGTTTTTTTTAATGTGTGCGCTAGAGGTGGGCAAAAAAGCGATATACAAAATCAACAGATTTATAAGTTTTCAAAATACAGAAAAATGTGTATTTTGGAATAAATAAATACATAGCTTTTACTGAGCACCAAATCTTATCTCAAATATATTTTATTTCCTGATTTCTTAAAACTAAAAATATACATCTATAATTTATTTAAATATTCCATTCTAAATGTGAAATACAAAATTCTAGATGATATTTATTCCCTTATTTGCCTTCCTTGTTACTTAATGTTTAAACCATATATAAACACAATCGAATTTTAATGGAAAACTAATATTTATTTTGTAAGCGCTGAAATTAGTCAAATGTAAATGTACACGTTGTTAGTCGGCCGTTGTGTGCTTGCTTGGGCTTTCTTTTGTGGTTTTCGGTGTTCCGAGGGCAAGCAATAATACAAAAACACTGAAAATCGCTCCCCTCGCTACGGGGATCTCTCTTTAAATCTAAATCACTGCGTTGCAGAATCATCTCATCATAATCATAATTGTAATCTGGCTGCCGCGCCGCTCAACAATGGTCGGTTGTCTCCGGACTGGCGTAATAAATAAACTTGCATCGTTTTCGTTTTTAGGTGCTACGTAAAAAATGACAGAACAAAGATCGGGATCATCTCCCTCTTCTAGCCTGACAGATCTCCCTGATCGAATATTCCCTGGTCGTAGAGCTCGGCCACAACTCTTCGTCCGCCAAAGAACCTGCCGTCGAGCGCTTCCTTTCCTCGCATGGCCTCCGCGCCGGCCGAGAACTCCACAAAGATCTTCACGATGATTTCCGCTTCGTCGTCGTCCTCGTTCTCCGTCTGCTTCTCGTTGAAGATGATCACCCGGCTGACGGTGCCGAATTTACTGCACTCCTCCTGGATCTCCTCCTGCAGGGTCTCGTCCACATCCTCGGGACCAACCATGTTTCGCAGAATGATCACCCGTGAGTCCACCGGCCGCATTAGCCGCTGCATCACCAGCTGCCTGGCGCTCTGGCCTTTGATGGACATGTTCTCCTGCTGCTGCAGCGTCTGCACATCGCCCTCGTCCATCAGCTTCTTCTGCAGCTCCTCCTGCTGCTTCTCATGTGCCTTCTTGATGTTCTCCGAGAGGCTGGCTGCCGTGACAGCGGCGTTATTCGCAGCGGCCGAGAGTACAGCCGCAGCGGCGGCTCCATTGCTGGCTTCCGCGACCGACAAAGTGGCCACCGTGGGCACTATGCCCACACCAACACCACCGACTGACATGGGCAGAGTGGGTGTGGCCAAAAGCGCGGGCGGCGGAAGAGTGGGCACCACCGGCTGAAGAGGCTGGAGACCAGCGGGAACACCCAGCAAACTGGGCGCCACTGGAGAGGGTGCCTGGAATATTCCGGGCGGAAGAAGGGCAGGTGCCGCCTGGGCCAAGGCAGGGTGCAGAGCAGCCGCAGATGTGGCTGCAGAAACCACTGGCATGGCTCCCACCTTGGTGACCACCGCGCCGGCTGCCATGACGGGAGTGTTCTGTGACAGGCCCAGCACAGCATTGCTGGCCACCGCGTCCAGGGCTTGGATCTTGGCTGTTGCCGCCGCTGCAGCCACTGCCGCGGCCGTGGGCATCGTGGAGTTTGTTGTGGGACAGGCAAGGGCATTCGGCGGCGTAATCGAGCGACCCACTCTGCAAATAATAGACTCATTAGATCACCGGATTTTTGTTGTTCCAAGTAATGCCAACTCACCTCAGTAACTGTCCACCCAGATCAAAAAGATTCATGCTGGCGATGGCCTCGTCCATGGCCTGTTTGTTGGCATACTCGATGAAGCCGTAACCCTTGTGCGTGTGCAGGGAGGTGCCCTGGGCCAGTTTGCAGTAGAGGATAGGTCCGAAGGCCTCAAAGACGCTCTTGATGTCCTCCTCGGACAGATCGGGATGGATGGAGGCGACGTAGATGCGGTTGAAGCTTTTGGCCTCTTCCTGCACCTCGTCGATCACCTGCTGGGCCTGTGGCATGTTACTGGGTCGTCCTACCTTGATGTTCCTGCCGCCCATCAGGGCTCCGTTCATCTGCTCCAGCGCCAGCTGTGCGCCCTCGGGAATCTCGTACTCCACAAAGGCGAAACCCTTGTGCTTCTGCGTGATGGGATCCCAAGACATGTTGATGGATTTGATTGGACCGAAGGGAGTGAAGGCCACGCGAATTGTGTCTTCTTTGAGCTCAAAAGAAATGCTGCCCACGTAGACTCTGTAAAGGGAAGGTGAATTAGTTGCTGGACTCCTTATAAAGGGAAAAATTAAAGAAACTATTGGTTGTTGGAGTCAGATCTTATCAGCTAAGAGGGCACAGCGATTGAAACCCTATCGACAGCCTCCAGTAACGCGGAGCAGCAGTCGTGGGTGCCAATCTTCGCCAGATATTTACAGTATGCATCATCCAGTATATCAGAGTATTAGCCCAGAAACCCTCTAGCTCACCTGCACATAAGTGCCAATGCCTGTTGCCTCTGAACCTGAGTCCGCTGGGTGGCCAATTGCTGCTGCTGATGGGCCAGTGTCTGCTTCATGAGCACCATCTTGATGCTCTGCTCCATGGCGTACTTCTTGGCCTTGCTGACCAGGTCGTGCTGCTCCGAGGAGAGCTTGGGCAGAGCGCCGCCCAAGAGGCCGAGAAGCGCCGATCGGGTGCCCGGACCGAACTTGACATCGCCCGTCTGCTTGAGGTCGTACAGGGGCTGCGAAAGGTAGGGAATTTTCGAATCCGTGGACTTGCCTAGAATTGGGAAGAGGGATTAGTGCATCTCATACTGGGGGAGGGTTCAGTTCAGTTCAGTTGATCGATCATCAGCTATGCAATTTGTTTGGGATTCGATTCGACTTTTCATTTGACTTGTTCGGTATTTTTCTTTTTCTGCCTGTTTCCGAAGGCATAATTGGCATGGGACAGACAAATTGGTCAAGAGATTGCGTTTGAAACCGCTTAAATAAAGACAAAAACTGCCTGCTGCCTGCAAGAAAGATGAAGACAAAAAGGAAAAAATAAGAAAACAAATTGTTAATCATATAGTGGCTCCTCGAGCGGATCAGTTGGGATATTTGGAGCGCGTATCGATGGGTATCAATCGGTACATAATGTCGCTATAACTTGATCATTGATTATTGGATACTTAAGTTTAATGCATATTTCACTTTTCGTTTCTTTTGCGTTGGATGAGAGTCTTTCTATGAGTCTATCGTTTATGCAGAGGGGCTTGAGTTTTTGTCATTTATTTGTCAAGGCTGGAAAATGCAAGAATAAAAAGAGAAAGCTCCCGTCAAATAAAACATATTCGCTTATCGGTAGGCAATTGATTGATATACGTAGTGTATGTGATGCAAGTGTGGTTATCATATATACATATACCATATACATATATAAAATAGGAGGTAGTAATGTGTCGGGTTATGTGTAATGTATATCAAATCAAAATTCATCCGCTGGACAAGGCGAACTGGGCACACAGCAGGACATCCGGGGAATCCCCTCCAAATGAAGTGAGAACAAAAAAGCGCGGGCTGGGCCTTTGGGGATTTGCCGATCTCCTCGTGTGTGCTCAGCTCTGGCGAGTAGTTTATAAAAATTAGAAATTATAAGCAACCTTAGGTGCGGTTTTCGTATTCGATTTCCATGAGTTGGGGGCGCGGTAACTGACTTGAAGAAGGGTCACACACATTTTACATTGCTCAGTGATAAAAAGAGAAAAATAAAAAAAAGAAAACAAGACGCTGAAACGATAATAAGAGCAACAATATGTTTAAGTTGGTTAGGTTCTCCACCGCCCTACCTACAAAAAGCTGTTATCTACCCATGGTTAATGTTTCTTCTAGGAAGATAGAAGCTCGCAAGGAGCTAGACCCATGGGTCTTAATTTATTGAATTACTAGATGCGGATGTTGATCGGAAAGATCGTTTACTTAAAGACTGATTAGTTGGATGCTCGGTACCCCATTTTAACAAATCGGACAAATGACAGGACGGACGATTGGTTGGTTGATCTGAACTAGCTAAGGCAAAACACAAAATCATTGGTACTTAATGTAAATGCAACCAGGACAGGACCGGAGCCAGAATCAGAGTCTCGGGAATCTCAGGATCGGGACCCGGATCAGTCCCCGGCTGGCGGCACACGACGACGTGGTGGCGAGGTGGTTAGAAGCGGATTAATGTCGATGTACTGGTTGGGCTTGGTTGTTTTGTGGCTGATTGGTAGTAGTAGTAGATTGGTAGTAGAGTAGTAGTGGAGTTATCTAATTGGTCATCTCTCTCTCGATCTCGAATACCCGCGATCTCGAATACCTCGTTTTCGATTTCGATTGCGAACTCGATCTTGAGCTCGATAAAACTTATGTCTTAGGCGGAACAAACTTAAAAGGAGAAAAACGCTTACGAGAACTAAAAAAGAGAGATATAGAAGAAAGAGAAAGAGAGAGATAATAGTTATATATGCATTTTGGATTAGTTCTGGCGATTCGTCGACTCGTTTCGGTTTCGGTTTTGTTTTCAGGACTCACTGATGCCCTAGATTTAACAACAATACGCATACGCATTTCATTGCGCTTTCGCTTTCGTTATTTAGCATATATGTAATCGTTTTCGTTTCGTTTATCGACTGGGGATCGCGCCTTTTTCGATTTTTTGGCGATAGACTGACTCTCAAATCGATTTGTTTGACTCTCACCTCACCTCACACCTCACAGTCTGAGTTAGAGTTCATCGTGCGTTTATGAAGTCTGCAATTACTTAAGCAGAACAAAAAGAAAAACCGATTATTTAGTGGCGTCAGTGCTGCCCTTAGATGCAACGGAGTAGAGTAGAGTACAAATACAAAGTAGGAGAGAAAATATAAGATGTGCTTATGTTTTATGCTTGGACAACCAAAAAATACAATACAATTCGGAAGGCCGTGGCTCCTCCTCGTGGATTCCGTTTCGTGGATTGTTGGATTCTTGATTAACCTACGTGCCAAGCTTGTTCTCAGACATACACAACATGTTTATTGTTTTTTTTGTTTGGGGGCGATGTGCTGATCGCCACGGTTATCATTCCATAATACATAGTTATTTATAGACGGACAGCTGGGAAACTCACCCGAGTCGGAGCGCGATCGTTTGGTGGCCGGCATATCGCTGATCTCGCGCTGATCATCCGAACGCGGTGATCTCGATGCTCTGTCGTTGCTGCCCTGTAGGATAAAGAGGGTTGAAACAGGTTAAGTAAAATGTTTTCATTTTAACAACCTCTAGCCAAGGGAATATGGTCATATTTATTAGATAAAACTATGTTTCTCAAATGAAAACAAAAGTTTGTTAAGCATTATTTATTTGTCATGATCCCACTATTTCTCACTGTTTTTCCAGAAATCGGTTTTACTAAACTAAATTACAAAGTTATATGTATAATATCACCGATATATATATTATGTGCTGTTTCCTATTGTTTATTCATGTATTAGAGGTTTTAAGAAATAGTTTCAGAAATGCAAGCATATTGTGGTTAATCCCCACTCTTTTCTATAAGTCACTAGTAGTATTATCACTAAAAAGGGGTTTTAACCGATATGACCTTGCTAACAGATAAAAAGGTTTCACCATATGGTCAAATAATTGGTTTTGAACGATGGATGGATCATTTATTGGTCTTTAAATGTATTTTCAATGTTTGGGTTTCGAATGTGGCAGTTATCTGTACTGATTGAGGGTTTTATACAATATGGTCTACAAAGACTCTTCACATCTCACTTGTGTCCCCTCCCTTTTTCAGGTAAAATCCGTCTATGGGACCAAAGGGCTGTACGAAACCGGAGGTGCGAGAGCGCGTGGTGTTAATTCGGATAGATACACATCCGCCGAGGGTCCGCAATTGTGACGTACTACTTCCAAATGGATGCAAGGTCACGAAGGGGTGCTCCATCGATTCCACCCCCAACAACGAACACCCTCAGTGTCCCCATGGAACCCCCTGAACCGCTCACTGCAACGCCACTGGCTAAGTACCGAAAAAATGCGCAAATTTCACAGTTAACCGAAACACGCGATGTGGAAAACCACTCGAAAACTCTGTTTTCAGGTGCAACTTCATCTGAATTCGCTAGTACTAACCATGCTCGCTGCTTTCCAGTTGTTATTGTGGCGATTTATTACCCGCAACGCTATTATTTGCTAACTTATTTCTTTTGCGAAAATTTTTTGTCAAGATGGATACGAAATAGTGGTGGAACTTTGGTCGATGTTTTCACTTTTCTTAACTATCGATTGCTTGTTGTGACTATCGATATAAGCCATAGTCTGGTAACGCTCACAACCGATATTGTTACTAAAGTTTATGATTTACATTTAAACATTATTATTGTAAAAATTATTTACTATATTAAAAATAAAAAATTTAAACAATGTTGGGTAATCAGTTTAGGTTATTTTTGTTAAAAAAGTAAAATTGTTTTCCTTAATATGGAATATATGTGGGGAAGGGGCTAAAGATCGGCAAAGCTAAGAATACGTTCTATAAAATTACGTTATATGGACCATCCGTTCAACGGATGGTGGATGGATCTCTGTGAGAAGAGGGTATTACTAAAATATACACCCTGTTTTATAATAATTTATCGGTGGGATTATGTGAGCACTATTATGCCGATCCGTCGATAGTTCTCTTTCTACCTCTTCGATTGTTTGATAACATCGATGTTTCTCCACCTCTATTTCAAAAATCCCAGCTGAACGGCTTTAAAGTTTGGCGTTAATCATCATGAAGTATTCGTTGTCAAAAATAGTTTACCAAGTATCAAGTGCAAAAAATTAAAGTGCATATAAAAGATAAAAGTAACGACCAAAACATGGACATTGAAAATGGTCTTTTGTTTTCCACCTGTTGCACCTGCATATGTACATATATTATTTGTGAACGTGACTATCTATAACGCCGGTGATTAAGAGCCCATAAACTGCAAGTAAGCGCACTCTTTTATTTACAACTGCATGTAGTTTTTATTTATTCAACCCTTTTCTTAAGGACTACGACTAAAATTAAACTATGCAATAATATTTACAACTCTCGATCTTTCTGTGAGAGTTTTCCCCATGGTGTCTGGGCTTTTCTCTGACGTTTCTAAAATAGTGTACGATGGGGATGAGGAGAGCGGGAAGGGATCACCCGATGAGGCAAGATTTCGCAGATTAGTGGGAGGGGGATCTATCTATTGTTTTCTTTTTTTCACAAGGGGGTGCAGGAACTTGAACAGTGACTCACTTGAAAGGGTTAATTACAACAGCTTATGGTGTAAGTAATCACAATCACAATGGTCTATTACGATCTACAGGCTCTTGGTATCCGTGCGTATTCCGTTCTTTTTAAAGCTAATGTCAGTCGCGCGACTTGCTTTTATATCAACATGACGAATTCAAAATAAAAATCGAATCAAAAATAAAAAACATCTAAAAAATGGTTCACAAATTTAGATGGAGCTTTGAGCTAAAAATCCTAGTCCTGGGATAAAATGATCCTACGAATAAATTAGCGAGACCGAAGCACGCCTCCCAGGATCGCTAAGTACACATGTTGCTTCGGCTTAAGTAAATGGTTTGGTTTGGCGAGTGTTAAGTAAGTTTTCCAGGCTCATCAGTTTTAAGTTGCTTTTGCTGCTGGTGTTGCATGTTGCTAGTTGCATGTTGCTGTTGGTGATTGGTTGATTTCTAGTTGCTGGTTGCTGGTTGCCTGGGTGAGCACCTTGGCGGCTAACGGGGTCGAGGGCCGGGCGGGCAGCAGCTTTTCAAGCTCGAATACCAATCCGCACTCGACGACGACGACTATCACAAGGTTCAGTTTTTGGGGGGGCAGGTCGTTCTCCGTCCGCCGCGCCCTAGTACAGGTCATCCTCCATGTTGTGGATGAGTATCTTCTTGTCCTCCTTGCAGCTGGACTTGGCCAGCGTCTGCTCCACCAGCTTGGGGTCGAAACAGGGCTGCAAAGTGACAGAAAAGTTAGATCGCTTCTTTGGAACTAGAATAACAGCCATACCGTTTCGCAGATGTTCATGTTGCAGCAGTTCTCTATCGTGATCTCGCACTGCTCGGTGGCCAGTGGGCGGTTGGTCAGCGGCGTGTCTCCCGCCGAGTTGGTCCTGGCCTGCTTGCGCACCACAAAGGTCTTCCTGATGCGCGGTCGCTTGGGTTTGTACAGGCGACGGATTCCGTGGACGATGACGGCCAGGAGCAGCAAGCTAGTCGTGATGCCCACGACCAGGATGATGATCACGCTGCTGGTCCATACTGTGGGCGTGATGCACACATCCAAGTGCTTAAATTGCGGAACGGCGATCTCTGTGCTGTTTTCCTGGGCCAGTTCCTCACAGCTAAGGGAGAGCAGAAGGTACAATTAGTTAGAGTTCCTTTAGAAGTCCCAAAATACGACTTACATATCATGACAGCCGAAAGGCACATAGGTCTTCGGCTCGTGTTTTAGCAGGCGGCAAAAGAGGGAGCAGATTTCCGTGGAGTTCTGCTCGCAACGTGCTCCTCCGAAGTTGGAAGGACACTCACAGCTGGGCGCCTCCTTCTCGTTCTTGGACAGCCGGCAGTGTCCGCCATTGAGGCACAGGCCAGTGCACATGCTGACCTCGCAGCGCTCGCCCTCGAATCCCGGCTGGCAAAAACATTTGGGGTAGGCCTGCTCAGACATGTAGCAGGTGCCGTGAATGCAGTAGTTGTGGCACTCGCGGATCTCACAGCGGGATCCCTTGAAGCCGGTCCGACAGATGCACAGATCGGTGTGCGCCTTGTATTCGCCTCCGTTCATGCAGCGCTCGTCCTCCAGAACTTTCATCTTCTGGTCCAGCACAGTGCGTATTTCCTTTTTATTGACCTGCTCGTCCAAACGCTCCTTAACCTTGCGCACAATGCTGGCGCAGTGGTGGTCCTTCTGGAGTCTTTGGTAGAAACCAGTGCGCACCACAATTCCTCGCGCCTCTTCGCTAAGATTGGCCACGCGTACCAGCGGACTGGCCTCGATCACCGGCTCGGGATCAAAGTTCGTCTTATCCGTGGAATCCTCCTCCTCATCCGGTTTGGCAGTGGTGGTAACCTTAATCACTCGGACTTTTGGATGACTCCAAACCGCCTTGGTGGTCTTGTCTGTCCAGTAAATGGCGTCGTTGGTCACAGCCAGATTCAGGGGTTCTTGGTTTTTGTCCTTCAGCACCAACTGACGATCGGAACCGTCCAACTTGGAGCTCTCCACCGAAAAGTATATGCCGTCGAGGTCGTCAATCCAGAAGAGACGATCTGAGAATTGGTCCACCACGATTCCCTTTGGCATATGGATGGAGGAGTTAACGATCGTGGTTCTGTTGCTGCCATCCAGATTGATTCGCTCCACAGTGGGCTTTGAGTGGTTCGAGTTGGTCCAGTAGAGCTTTCGACGACACACATCCACGGCCACGCCATCTGGGCGGCCTCCTTCTGCACTCAGATCCACCAGGACCTTGGGCGCCGCCGAGCCGCGGATGGGTGCGAAAAAGATTTTCCTGTGCTCGGTGTCCGACCAGAAGAGGTTCATGGTGAGTGGATCGTAGGCCAGTCCGCCCACGGTTTCGTTGACCGTGCGTGCGATCGTCTGCTCCACCACATGGGAGGCGGCTAGGAGATCCCTTTTCAGGGAGAATATGCTGCCGTTCTGGTGCTTCAGGTCATTAAAGTAGATCAGCTCCTCGGATTCGTCGAAGGTTAGGGCGGACAGCTCGTCGAACTCGTGGGCGGCGGTGGCTATCGTCTGCCAATTGCTGTCCATGAACTGGATCCTCGACCTCAGCGTGACGGCGAAGTCTGTAGTTAGAGAAAAACAGGAAAATAAATAAGAGTTGTTATCTCAAGGTTAAAATACAACATAATTCGGTTCCTAATATTTTAATATGACTTCTAAAAGTACAAATTTTTACATCATACTTTTAGGCTTCCTTATGAGGGCTTTGAAAACTCCCTAGTGATTAGAACAAGATTTAGAATATTTAATTACAAATTATTATTGCGTTGACCTCTATTTCAGTGTTTGTTTATGGTTTATTAATTTTATTACACGTTAAGGTGGCTCAAAAAAAACAAACTAACTAGTTTTTCCCAACCGGACTTATTTATCGACCGATCATCTTCATGACAGCTACGTGATCAATATATGTAGTTAGCCTGTTCCCTTGACTCATTTACCAATAATTTAAAGCAACACTCATAATAGGATAATCGAATACATACGTTTATCTGAGTAATCTTATCTGAAAACCGATATGCTTCAGTGCGAGCAACTGTTAAAATCAAAAATAGTTTATGGAAGGCTTCTAGAATTGGCAAACGTGACCGATAGGATCACTTCACTATATCGTATCGATAAGAGTATGAAACGCCGAAGACCCCTTGCTTTATTTGCGGAAATTAAGCTCAATCAAAGGCAAGAGACCGTCAAATTGTCGAGCCCCCCCCCGAACGGCCGACATTAAAGTTGCCAAAAGTGTCGCGAATGCCAATCAAGCTCCGCCATTTGTGGAAATTGCGACTTGAATTGAGCTTTGCAACAATATTCAGGCAATATATTCTGATCGAACTGCGTTTCATTTTTATTAATTGATTATTTAATGCGGCGCCGCCTGCCGCAGAAAATCTAATACCTAGTTTCAAATCATCAAAAAACAAAATGTGTCTAAGGTCTAGACTGATAAGGTGTTGTAAATTAGTCAACAGGCGACTAAGATCCTAAGACGTCAACCTGCAAAAGCCCTAGGGAAATCCCTTGATACGTAATGTCATCTTTTTGACCTACGAAATCAGTTGTAATCACTGATGTTATTCAAGGCTATTCCTCGTATCTGATTTCAGTTAAGTCCCTATTCGATTCCCAAAACCTCATTTTTTTGCAATAAAAAAATCATAACCAAAGTATTTAAAAGGTTAATAGACTTTTAATTAACAATTTTAATGGGCAGCTGCGGTAAATTCTCAAAAATAATTTATTCTCTCTAATGAATTGGTATATACAAGTTCTCAAAACATAAACACCTCAATTGCAAGTGACGTCAGAATCAGGCAATATTATAATAGAATCAGTCCCCTAACCAATGGCAAACTTGAAATTTGTACACAAAAACATGGCGGTCCCAAGATTAGTGTGCAAAAAAAATGGTGACATGATTTGATAAGCGCCCGAAATCTGGCTTTGCCTGCCTTACCCCTCGGATTTCGATTTCGATTTTGATTTTGAAAACCCCCTCCCCAACGAGATGAAAGAACCTGTTGCCAACGTTCTGGGGGCGTGTCATTTAGTCACTTTTTTAATTAGCCAGGCAGGTGGGTAAAGTGCGACACGCGCCTTGCAAACAAATAAAGCACACAATCCTGACTCGCTTTTTCCACTTCTCTCACGGAAATGGGAAAACTGCAGCTGGCGGAACAGAAACAACCGAAATGGCAGCAGTTCCGTATTGGATTGTACAGTATTTGTATTATATCAATATCAAGGCTTTACTTTCACAGTTCCTTAAACAATAAACACATAACCAATCGATCAGATCGATTATCCATCATCCGCGACCTGGTCATTGGCCCTAGCTTTATGGCCAAAAACACCTTTCTAGGTCACTGTCGCTGTGAGAAAACACCGAAAGACCACAACAAACTGCAAAAAGCGAAAACAGATAGCTAGATATTAGAGAAACTTGTTTAACTGCAGGTTATTTTGACTTAAAATGGCTTAAAATCCTAATTACAGAGCTTCGAATAGATAATATCATTGGTATGCCATATTAATTGGTTATTCATGATTCATTCCAATTATCGATGGTTGTAAAAAAGAGCCGCAAAAACAAAAGCCTAGCCAGCATTTACCATTTACCACTCGAAACGCAGTTGCGAACGAACCTTTCGGTCGACCTCCACGCTTCTGGTTTGAGGTCAACGTTTTTATCGATGCAGAAAATGCTAAATTGGCAATATACCATAATACCTATGTATTGCTGAGTTCATTCGTGGAGAGGTTGATTGAAAACTACGAGACAGACCTACAAAAACAGATCTTATAACACTAATTGGCCTTTTTACTTTTTATTCCCACTAATTCCCCTCATTACTTCTAAGTAAGTTAAATTTAATAACTACTTTATGATCATAAGTACTAGTTTATAAGTTATAAAATATTTTAACAAAGTGACCTGTAAAGTTCACTAAAGCTGACGTCGTTAGCAACGTGAATTTAAAGCAACATCTGTGAAGTGATTAAAAATCAAGTGTACGTTCATTCTTGTGGAATTCTTAAAACTGAAACATGGTACAAGTTAAGTAAGAACTTTTCTTATAATATAATAATATTCAATAATGAATATGTGGTTGCCGTGTCAGCAGAAAAATCAAGTGCAAAACAAATACCGCAAAAGAAGCCAAGTTCCAATCTCTGAAAAATGTATGCAAGCCTAGCATAAAGTGTTTCATTTTATAAAGAATTTTTATGCACGAATTGTAATTCTTGCTAAATTTGATAAGTGTTATCGTTTTCGGGTATGTTGAGGATGACGAATCAAAAATAGTTACGGATTCAAAGTGATTGTACAGTATATCAATAGTTATCCCGGAAGAAAGCCAAACTAAAACTAAAGGATTTACAGTATCTAGATCTTTTGCGGCCTTTACTTGACAGCAACTGAAGTGATTGAGATTTACAATGGGCTACTTGAAATGGCCGATAGACCAACGGCCAATAATTCTTATGACTGGCCCAATATAACGCATGAAATAGCCGGTATCTCTCGAAATGCCCGTAAGATATGGATTTTCGCACGGCATTTGGAGCGTCACGGCGCGATTTCCACCCATTAGCATTATCTAATACTGAAGCGAGCAAGTGTTAATGGAATGCCTCGGAAAAGTTCCCAAGTCGCACGTGGGGCCCACCGATCACGTCGTTATAGGCTATATGCTATGTATATGTCAAGTCGGATCGGGTTTCCAGATGGCTGTTTCTGGGTTTATTTACCCAAGCAATCTGTGCTTGCCCGATTAGAAGGGAATTAAATGGATCTTTCGCCTCGGATTGCGATATAGAAATTCCATGACAGCCGACGTTTGGTTTAAAGTTATACAGAACACAGAAAACACAGCATAGGTTCTCAACTTCTTCTGAAACAAGAAACGCCCCTGGGGACTGTTGAAATATTAGAAATCGCTGAAATCTAAACAAACCGGCAAACACGATGTGGCATACGTGACAAAGTAAATCGGGCACATGGCGGCCAAGGTGGTGGCAAATGCCGAGTACAGTGCAACTACATGCTGGTGAACCATACGTCTGAAGAAGATTCATGGTAAATCATCGGAGAACTTCCCTTTTCATAGAGTTCAGATTAATTTTAAATTCAAATTTTCACCTTCACCTAATGGTCAGTGGTTTTTCCAGTTTGTGAACCTGGAGTTTTTGACGGTGTAGCTGTATTTTGCAGTTCAGCCAAACGCTAACGGACAATTTTATTGCAAGCATGTTAAGTTACTATGACATTATATTTTTAAAATCTTTTTATGGGCTATAAACTAGAAAATGTCTCTTTATAACATTTTTTTTTTATATATGTAGCTTGAATTTAGGCAAGTTCAACTGTAGGTAACAGTTGTTTTTGCCGGCCACTTTAAGTCCAAAAGAGAGTGAAAGAAAGAGCGAGAGAGCGTGTAGTAACCCTTCCAGGAGAAAGCGTAACAACAACAGCGCAAGCATTAACGAAAAAACGTCTAATAACAATGAGTATCGAACATTAAAAGGTAGCTATTTAGCTATTCATTATCAGCTATCAGCGACGTGTGCATTGATAGCAAAAGGGCGCCTCTGCCACTGATAAAAGAGATAACAAATGAAATCGTTTTTTACCGGGGCAGCTCCGATAGTCAGCTGATAGCGGTCACAAACACATGCGTGCGATGGGAATATGCTACGGGGTAATGTCAAGCGATTACATAAGAACACTGGCTGCATTGTTTATGTCGAATTGATTTCAAACTCAAATCTTGGCGACGGTAAAATGAAGGTTAGGCCCCAGGGTTGCCAGGTGGTCAGTAGCTCCTCCTAACTGTTCTTATCCTCCATTCCCTTCGCACTGGAAGGCGCTGATGGTCTTACCCCATTCCAGTGGTGTTCCGTGGACTGTCAGAAGGCAGGTGGCTAGTATTAAACAGGGCAGAATCGCCATTCCGATTCGGATACGGATCATTGTACAGGTGGATTATATATGTAGGACGAGACACCTTCGATTGCACAATCGCCTGGCTTTATGGTTAGGTTAAGGGAATTGATTGGTGCAGTGCCGTTGCTCTGCCGATTGGAAGGGGTTTGCGGGAAGGAAGGAGTCTAGAAAACAGCGCGCTGATTTTACGGACTTTCGGAGGGGTTTTGAAAGTACGCGCCGCGGAACCCGGTAACGCACCGTTCGATCCGACAAGTTTTTTTAAACTAACTTTTAAATTCACTTGATTTGATTGGAGGTAGCAAATCCATGGCTGACCAGTGTTGCCGGGTGGCCACTGGAAAGCAGTCGGCAACACTGGCGAGGGCTCGATAGGTTTCGATAGATTATATCGGAAACATTTAAAAAATTTAATTGTTTAAGATGCAAAAAATTGGTGATAATCTTCCAATGTTGGACTCCATTTATTTCGCTTATGGTGGGTGACCATCGGGTCCTAATATAGTGTATTATCGAGGGGTAATATACACATTAACCAAGAAAAAAAGCTAGATTTCTGGAATTTTTTTAATGTAAAAAAAAACATTTTCTGGTTTTGTGTCCTTAAGTTCAAAATTTCAACTTGCTTTTAATTAAAAAATAAATATAGGAAATAGTTTTTCAACGAAATGTGCGTATAAACTTCCAGACCTCTATTTCCAGTGTCATGCGGTGGTTGCCGAAATGATTAATGTAAAAAAGAAAAATATTAGGCGAGTACAATGTTACCTGAAAAACACTATACTTTGAGAAATACTTCATAACGTAACACAAATTGAAGGAGTATACCAAGTTAAAACTATTTTCAAACCAAAAGTAACGACTGGAAGCGGAGCGTCAGTGTTGGTAAGTGCCCCACTTTTAACACACAAAATTTGCCGCAGAGTTGCTCCGCCGTGTTTTAATTTTTATTTTAATTTTATTCGGGCAAAGTCATGTACAAAAATGCACTAAAAGGCGGTATTCGCACGGCCAAGCAGGCTTGGAAGTTGAAGAACGGTGATTAGACAATGGTTTTAGTTAGTTTAAGTGGCATAATACATAATATATTGGGAACAGCTGATCGGCGGTCACTTACGGTTTACGGTGGCTTACGTTTTACGTTGTGTTCACCCCAACCTCCCCCACTGAAATTAAGTGGGCAAGGGGCCACTCCACTCGAAGCGTGTTGTTCGCATATTGCTCGTTTTATTTTATCTCCGCCTTGTTAAATCCGGAATATATCCGGAATAGTGAATTAATAGTAAGACAGTATACTTGCAGAACTGGGCAAACTCAACTTGGACTTGGCCAAGGCAAATTCCGATTTCGAACAGCATTTGTGCGAAGGTTTGCATTTCGTTTTCCCTCGAATCCCAAACCCCGCCCCCGGAAATCTTGTATAGCTAATCAAATAACAAAGCTTATCAGTGCATTTCATGCTATATATCCCAGTGCTAACCCGCTTTTCGCTCTTCCAGCTGCCAGATCTTTGCAGAGCTGCTACATCCCCGCAAGAAACCCGCAGAAACTCCCTTTGTTGCTAATAAATAGAGCGAAACCAGGCGATAACAACAGCTCCTCCTCCTTCAGTGTCGTTGCTAACCAATATCGGACTACTCCAACTAACCCCCCGGAGAAGCCGAGAGGAAGAGCAGATAAGACCACCTCACTGAACCCATTTTTCCGAGCAGAAAGCGGCCACCTCAACGCCCTAATCTCCTCGAAGCAGTTTGTGAAGGTGCAGAAGCAGTTCTACAGGGATTACTCTTGTGTCTCGCTTGGAGCCCCTCTAAAGAGCAGTGACGCTCCATTACTAGGAGATTTGTGCAGTCAATACCGTGCCATTCTCTCCCACACTTCGGCGGACGTGCTATTTGGTCAGGATCGCCACCATCCAGGGTGCAACCATCAGCAGATTAGGCTAGCCCATCAGCAGTCGCACTTACTCAGCAAGGAGGAGCAATCGGATCAGGAGCGCAAGATGGCCCAGAAGGCAAAGTTCGAGAGGCTGCCCACCAATGTGGTGCCGCGACACTACGAGCTGCTCCTGCAGCCCAATCTCCAGGAGTTCACCTTCAAGGGCAAGACCATAGTGCAAGTCAATGTGAGTACAGTCAAGATGCCGTAGCGTATACCTATCTTAGCTTTTTGTGTGTGTCAATCAAGTAATAGATAAGGTTTATTTCTGGACATATAAGAAGAACCAATAAATTCAATTGGTTTCCTTTCTAAAACGTTTATATCATGTTATCCAATGTTCAGAAACCCTAAGCAGAAGGTATTCAACAAGTATTTAGTGGCTAAAGTTAGGGAGTTACGACTGTATCCTCCATCTCTTTCCATTTCTCTCTACTCCAGCCACTTTCACTTTTCCCGCATTGTTATTTTCTGCGCCCCATTGTGTGAACTTTTTCCTCTGACGTGTGCAAAAATATTCCGTATTGGACATTCTCCTTGTTAACATTTCTCTTTATGCTGCAATTTGCATGCAAGCAAACACTTGGAGTGATGAACAGCCATAGAGATATATGTAGATATGGGTACACCCACTGGGAAGAGCGATTTCTTTGTCGGCGCAGAAGGAATGGAATGACTGGCGGTTTCGATATGGAACTCGGGGGTACAATCTCTTTTTGCAAACGCCGCTCATAACGGTGGATTTTGTTTACGTTTTGTTTGCGTCAACGACAGAAATGACTTACTAACCCTAGTCGCACTTTTGATACCCTAGAACTAGGATTTTATTATAATTATATTTCGAAAGAATCTATATAACTTCGATTTTCATTAGAAAAGATTGCTTGCTTTGAATTTGTTTTGTAAACTTTTTTATAAATCTTAATACCATTCCTAATTCCAATTAATCATTTTATCAAGCCTTAAAAAGTGTGTGGAATAGAAATTACAGATCATATTTCATATGTCTTACTACACAAATTACATTTTTTTTGTTTGCCTTTCCAATCAATTATTTGAACAAGTTATAGGAATTTGGTTGGGTTAGAAACTGAAGAACCTTTTAGATATGTATAAAACTTATGATAGTCGAACCGAATCAAATATTGCTATCTCTTTAAAAAACGATTAACATTTGGTATTATTTTAATTCAGTTTTAAAGATATTCCCCGTTTAAATGCACACGTCTATTAAATTATTCATATTTTATAAAAGCCTTAACTTGTTTATACATATTCGACAGCAAAAAAAGTTGTTTAAACTGCAAGTTTATGCAAATGAATGGTTTTTAAGCCGGCGATTGCGCAAAGACTTGATTAATCTGATAAGAGGGGTGAAAGAATTGCATTACCATTTGATTAGATCATAGATTGGCCTTCCAATCGGCTGGACCCTCCCTTAGGCAGGGTATAAATTTTGACAAAAACCCGTTTTCGAGCGCTTTGATTGCCTGGTTCAAGCCGGAAACCCACAAAGTCAAGAAAGCCGCATTTCTACGACCTTGAAGTAACTGTTTGTGGATTCTGGCCATTCTTCTCCTCGGCCTGGCTAACATGGCTAACTGTTTCTTAGTTTTTTTTTTTTTGTTTTTCGATCCTAAGTTTCGGGTTGCTCACCTAACGGTTACTGACATTTTGACTTATTATCTTGCAGGTCAAGGAGCCCACCACACAGATAACCCTTAATGCCCTGGACATTGTGATTGATTCGGTGGAACTCAACTATGAGTGCAGCAAGCTGAAGCCGGAGAAGATTGTCTACTCGGCGGAGAATGAGACGGCCACGCTGGAGTTCGCCCAGGAGATTCCGGCCGAAACGCAGGGCGTCCTGCACATGTCCTTCACGGGCGAGTTAAACGACAAAATGAAGGGCTTCTACAGGAGCAAGTACTTTGGACCCAACGGCGAGGAGCGCTATGCGGGAGTTACCCAGTTCGAGGCCACCGATGCCCGACGCTGCTTCCCCTGCTGGGACGAGCCGGCCATAAAGGCCACCTTCGACATCACCCTGGTGGTGCCCAAGGATCGGGTGGCCCTGTCTAATATGCCGGTCATCAAGGAGGACTCCCTGCAAGACGGTCTGCGGCGTGTGCGATTCGACCGCACACCCATCATGTCCACCTACCTGGTGGCCGTCGTCGTGGGCGAATACGACTATGTGGAGGGCAAATCCGACGATGGAGTCCTCGTAAGGGTCTTTACGCCCGTTGGCAAGCGCGAGCAGGGCACCTTCGCCCTGGAGGTGGCCACCAAGGTGCTGCCTTACTACAAGGACTACTTTAACATAGCCTATCCGCTACCCAAGATGGATCTCATCGCCATCTCCGACTTCTCGGCCGGCGCCATGGAGAACTGGGGCCTAGTTACCTACCGCGAGACTTTCGTGCTGGTGGATCCCAAGAACACCTCTCTGATGCGCAAGCAGTCGATTGCCCTGACTGTGGGTCACGAGATTGCCCATCAGTGGTTCGGTGAGTACTACATACTACATCCGGTGAAGAGGAATCGGAGGATTCGCCCTCATTCCCCATGGAACTTAAGATTCAGCAGCAGGTTTTGTTCTTTAAAATATCTTCAAATACTTTCTGATTCACAGATTCAGGTTGTCTGACGCAAAAGCACCTGAAGCTCAATTTGGTATTCAGATTGCTTGGGAATTGATACTTCTTTTGGGTTTTAGTGTCAATGTCTTGACTTTGAGGTTTAAAATGAATGAATTCGCGTTGTTATTTATATTGTTCTTTAAGGGTATTCCCCTATCAGATTCAATAGGGGTAAAAATATGCTATAGTGGCTTTTCTGATAGGCTCCCTTAATTCCCTATACATATTTTTCTAATAAAAGCCATATCTTGCAGGCAATCTGGTTACCATGGAGTGGTGGACCCATCTGTGGTTGAACGAGGGCTACGCCTCCTTCGTGGAGTTCCTGTGCGTGCACCACCTGTTCCCCGAATACGATATTTGGACGCAGTTCGTCACGGACATGTACACTCGAGCCCTAGAGCTGGACTCCCTTAAGAATTCGCATCCCATCGAAGTGCCCGTGGGTCATCCCTCCGAAATCGACGAGATCTTCGACGAGATCAGCTACAACAAGGGTGCCTCGGTGATCCGCATGCTGCACGATTACATCGGCGAGGATGATTTCCGCAAGGGCATGAATCTGTATCTCACTCGCCATCAGTATGGCAACACCTGCACCGAGGACCTGTGGGCGGCTCTGCAGGAGGCCAGCTCCAAGAACGTGGGCGATGTGATGACCTCGTGGACGCAGCACAAGGGCTTCCCAGTGGTCAGCGTGGAGTCGGAGCAGACAGGCAAGAACCAACGCCTTCTGCGCCTAAAGCAGTGCAAATTCACGGC